CTTAAATATCTCCTTGACTGGAGGTACTGCAGTGAACAAGGCACAGGTGGTCTCTGCCAGGACAGAGTGTCCTTTCTCATGAAGGGTAAGGGGGTGTCACACAATAAGCAGAAAGCAAAATATGTGTTGTAATAAAATAAACATAATATGTCAGGCCATGAATTTCATCTCTCTCTAAATAGTATAAATGGGATGTAGCCATGGCTTCCTACCTTCCTTCAATAGGGAAGTCAAGGAGATATTGAAGCACAGTTCTCCCCTCACCCAAATGAGAAGGACCCAGCTATTGGAAGAAGTGCAGGGAAAAGCATTCTAGGCAGAAAGAACAGCATGTGTGAGGGTCTTGAGCCAGGCCCACCACTGAACATTGTACAGGGATCATCTCTTTACCACCACCCCACCAGGCCCATGCAATTATTATTGTTAATAATAAATAATGAGGCTCAGAGAGGAAGACGGACTCCTTGAAAACATACAACTCTTTATTTTTTTTAAAGATTTTTATTTATTTGACAGACACAGAGCACAAGCAGGCAGAGAGGCACTCAGAGAGAGAAGGAGGGGAAGCAGGCTCCCCGCTGAGCAGAGAGCCTGATCCCAAGACCCTGAGATCATGACCTGAGCTAAAGACAAAGGCTTAACCCACTGAGCCACCCAGGCATCCTGAAAACATACAACTCTTAACTCCCTTACATGGTAAAACTGGGTTGCAAACCCAGGTTCACTTTACCACTGAAGCCCATGCCTCCGTCGTGAGACTCAGCTTCTCTGAACTCTCTCTAAGAAAGATGGGCATCAGCAGAGCATGGGAGCAGGTGGCAGGAGGCTCCAGAGGGAGTGAAGGGATATTCTCGTTCTGCAGCCTCGGCCACAGGCACAGCCAACACCATCGAGGCCACTTGGCAGGACCACGCTGTGCGGACAGTCACTCCCTGGTCATAGAGCCAGATCCCCAGTTTAAGCTGATTATCTTGTCACTGTCCACAAAGAGGCTCTGCCACGGCAGTTACAGATACCATAGCTGGCTCTCTTTCCCCCTTTCCTTGAGAGAGAATCATGGAAGCATGAGGACATATGGGAGAGATGGGTAGGGAAATGGGGAATAACAACACAACAAGAATAGCAAAAACTTTTATAATGCTTCTGGTGCCAGGTACCGTCCCAAGTGCTTCCTTTATGCTAACTTGCTTAATCTTAGAAACGAACCTCTAACACCATTTTACAGATGAGGAAACTGAGGCCCAGAGGGTCTTATCACTTACCTAAGATGACACAGCTGATAAACAGCAGAGCAGGGATTTGAACCCAGGTGGCTGACTCTGGAACTCACACTTCCTTTAGCCTTTTTATTACAAAAGAAGACAAACAGAAAAACACACAGAACAAATGTATAACCTTGTGAATTCTTGTAAGGCAAACACCCTTGTAAGCAGCAACACGGATCAAGAAATAGAACTTTGCCAGAAACCCCGGAAGCCCGTCTGTGCTCCCCTCCCAGGCACAGTCCCTTCCTGCCCCCTCTCTAAAGTCAACCGTAATTGGGATTTTTATAGGAAGGTTTGTTGTTTTTTTGTTGTTTTGGTTTTTTAAGGAAGAATTCCCTGTGTTTCTCTACAGTTTTCTCGCCTGAGTGTATACCCCTAGCCACTGGTGGTTAGTCAGCCCCATCTTTAAATTTGGTACCTTTTAAGTCTCTTTCAATCTACATGTTCTCCCTGCATCCCTCTCTTTTTCTTGTAATTTATTTATGGCTGTGGAGTTTCCCAGCCTGGATTTTGCTGGGGGAATACTCACGGTACAACTCAGCATGTTACTCTGTCCTCTGAGTTTTCTGCCAAATGCCCGCTGGATCTAGAGGCATGCCAGACTCAGGTTCTATCCTTTCTGGCAAGGAGGGAGGCGGGGCAGGGCACGTATTCTTCCATCAGGGGCATGGAATGTCTCTTTTCCTCTGTCTTTGATCAGAGCCCATGCTATTAACCACATTGCTATAGAGATGCTACCCGGGTGTCCTCAGCTGCTCTGTGATTTACTCCACCCCCTGGACAGATCTGTCTCCAAAAGCGAGCCTTTTATAGGCACCACTGATTCTGCTGTCATGGGGCTGGCTGACACTTGAAAGCGGCCCTTCAGAGGTCCCACCTGAGCTTCTCCACACTCCAGGGGCTGTGCTGGATGGGGCCCTGCCTCCCAGATGAGTATCATCTCTGTCTGCTCCTCCCTCCAGCCCCGTTCACCAGGCAGATGGAATTCTACTTCCAAGAGAACCACGTTCTCCCTGACCGCTGGGCCTTTGCTGATGCTGTTGCCTCAGCCAGAAACACTCTTCCCCTGCCCTCCTCCGACTGAGCACGGCTGATCCTTCTGGTCCTAGCAAATCTGTCCTTCCCACCCTATCCCCACCCTGCCAGATTACCTTTTACACAGCCCCTCTTCTCCCCGGCTAACCTGGTAAGCAGCCTAGTACGCGGCAACAAGAACATTACACTTTACCTGCTTTTTTTCTTAACCATTTTCCCTCTAGAGGCGGGGACCCTCTAACATCACAGGACCTGGCGTAGAGAAGGGGGCACAGTAAATGTCTGCCCAATGCCTGCTTGCACCAATGAATCACATGGAGGCAAATCTAGGCCGACCCAAGGAGCTTTCAGACCATGAGAGCCCTTCTAAGATGACACACACCCAGTAACCCCCTCCAACCACGCCCTGCCCAGGGTGGGTGGTTAAGCAGCTGTGTGGTGCAGATCACAGAAAGAACTCTCACCTGGGTGGCTCAGTCAGTTAAACTACTGACTTCAGCTCAGGTCCCGATCCCAGGGTTCTGGGATTGAGCCCCGTGTTGGCCTCCCTGTTTGCTGGGGAGTCTGTTTCTCTTTCCCATTCCTAGCTCCTGCTCGCTCTCTCTCTCTCTCTCTCTCTCTCTCTCTCTCTCAAATTAATAAAATCTTAAAAAAAAAAAAGAATTCCCACCTGAGATAGAGTCCATCCAGAAAAATGAGTCTTGGTTCTTGGAACACAGAAGAATCTTCTCTTCAAACAATCTTACTAGGAACCACTAAATAAAAGACAAGTTCAAGAGGAGGAGTTTGTGTTTCAGCGCTGGAGGAGGCAGAGGCCCAGCCCCTGGGCTTTCCCTTGTCCTGAGCACTAGGGTTTCTCTGAACAGTGGCCTGGGTTTATTTTCAAGTCGCTTTACCGTAGCCACTGTGTCTGCGATTAGGAGGTTACCACACTGGGGAAAGACGCATCCCAGCTGACACCCTAACTCCACCACAGGGGTTCATCCCATCAGCTGACGGGGTGCCCACAGAAGCCCTCTTTCTATGAAGTAAGTACTCCTCTGGCCCTCCAAGGCCATTGCATTTCTGAAACCATGTAGATCGGAGGGCTCTGGGCCAAGCCAAGCCAAGAGAGGAGCAGGCAGAGCTGCAGGCCTGCCTTTCGGGGCACGGAGCCAAGGGCTTAGTCTCAGAATTGGATTATGAGAGTGAATTTGGAACTCCCAGGCCCCCTTCCGCCCCGCCTGGCCTCAGGGACACAGGGATTACCCAGGCCTCTGGCCAGGGGTCCTCAGTCCTTCCCACATTCCCTGCCAAGTCTGAGAATAAGGATCCTGCCTCTGCACAGGGAGTTGTCTGCCCACCACCCACTTCCAGCCTTTAGCCCACAGCCTCCCCCAACCCCCACCCTGCTCTGGGAGCATACCTGCCTCCCACGTGTCTGGGATGATTTGTGGTATTTAAATCGTGGCCCAGCAGTTAGAAGGACTCACTTCAGTGCCCTTTCCTGAGGATAAGGCTTTTGTTCCACAAGAATCTACCACCTGCCTCTAGAGCCACAGCTGGGGAATTCAATGCTTTGGTGAAATTCATATTCTCTGTTCTCTGGCAAAACTATTCATTATGCTTATGTCATGGGCACTCTCGATTTGTTGAGGCTTTTAAAAACCAAAGTGTGGTCCTCGGCTGGCAGCAAGAACACCCCCTGGGATCCTGTTAGAGATGCAAGTTCACGGGCCCTGAATCAGAATCAGAATCACTAGGGTGGGGCCCAGATCCAAGGTTGAACAAAAATCTCCAGGTGACTGTCACATGCTGAAGTTTGAGAGCCACAGGCTTGGGGTACACAGATCCGTCCTACACACCTGTCTGCTTTCGCCCTAACCCTGTCAACGATTCTGGGCAACTTCTACCCACTAACATCTCCCTTAGACTCCTTCAACCTTCGCTGACGGAAATTAGTGACCGCGATGACAAACGGGTCCTCTTTAAGAGTGCCTTGCCCGGCTGTTCTGTGAATGGTGGCCCTTGGGAGAGGAACAATGCGATGCCCTTCCCGGGGATTTTATTAGCCTTTATTATTCCCCTACTACACATGGGGCTCAGAGAGGGGACACGACTGGCCCAAAGTCACACAGCAAATAAACCCAGGGCCTAACCACTCTGCTCTCCCGTGCCCCACTCTGCCAAGCAGGCGGAGCTGTTAGGACATCTGTTTCGCACACACCCTGGGATTTCCTCCGTGGCAAACACCTTGTCATTGCTTCCTCAGGAAAGCCTCTGCTGACCTCCCCAGAGAATGCCAGGCCTCCTTTTTAGAGCCGACTACAGGTCCCTGCATTTTTCCCTCAGAAAAGCATCACAATTTGACCCATGTATTGAATTACTTCGTGTCTGTCTTCCCGCCAGGCCGGAAGCTCCAGGAAGACAAGAAGTGGGCAGACCCTGCTGGACGCTCACCCGGGATCTATTCTCCTTTTCTTAGAGAGCCTGACTTTGTTTGGGGCAGCTGGGTACCCAGCCGGATCACTAGCTCCCCCAGGCTCCCCTCCAGTTCGAGAGGTACGGAGGCTCTGGCTTCGGAGATGACAGTGGGTCCCTAACAGTGCTCAGTAAATGCACGCTGAATGCAGGACTATGGGCCGGCTCTGGGCTCAGAGTTGGCACTCAGGAAATACGCATCGTCTGACCAGACCCAAGAAGCAAAAGACCCCCACAGCTGCCCTTGCCTTGGAAATACTTTTATTGGTTCTGAGAGAACAGGGCTGTGGCGAGCTGGGACGGGCACAGAGCGAAGGGCGGCGGCGAGAGGCTTTGCTCCGGGGCAGACATGCTGTGTGGGGGCTGCTGGCAGGCTCCCTGGCCCGCCCCGCCAGCAGCGGCTGGGTCCATGGCACTTGGCACCCGGCGTCACCTCTGCCGGCTTGGCACAGTGGCCTCCTCGGCGGGCGCCCCCCCTTTCCAGTTGCAGGAGTTGTGAGTCTTTCACAGTGCGGAGGGGTGGGGGTCCGGGGTGGGCACCTCCCCGGGGTGCAGGCAGGCCCCGTCCGCCAGTCCATCCTGGGCTCTCAGCGGCTGCAGTGGGGTGAGGTGCGCTCCGGCTCCTCTTCTCCCACTGGGGAGCTTGGCAGTCCTGGAGGGGCCCTTGCGGCCTCAGCGGGACATCATCCGGACAAACTCTGCGAGGGCACAGGACCAGGTGGGGAGAAAACAGCAGAGTCATGCCCAGCTCAGGCTGCCCCTTCCAAGTCTTCTCCAGATCCGAGCCCCCCACCCCACCATCACCACTGCCCCGCTGGGCCCCTCCAGCCATTCAGCTTCTTCCAATCCATCTTGTGCACAGCAGCTGGCGGGGGCCTGTCTCATCTACCTGGCCCCTCTGAAACCTCTCAGGGCCCTCCGGGGGAAAATGTCCAATATCCTGTTGCTGGCCTCAAGGCCCTCCGTGCTGTGGCCCCAGCTGATGTCTCTCTCTCATAGTTCATTCCCCCCCAACCCCCCACCCCTGCCCCGCACTCCAACCAAGCCGATCTCCCTGTCAGGGGAGCTGGCACACTCACTCTCCCTCCACCTCTCAGCTTGCCTACAACCTGTCTCTTCTCTCTCCTTTTCCTTTTAACTAGACTTGATTATTTGGAACAGTTTTACGTTCCCGGCAAAATGATGCAGAAAGTACAGAGTTCCCATTCACAGGGGGCATGCCCCACCCATGCGCAGCCTCCCCTACCATCACCACCCCGCACCAGAGAGGGACATGTGTTACAATCAATGAACTGACACGGATGTGTCATTACCCAGAGGCCACAGTAACACTCAGCTTCCCCCTCGATGCTGTCCATTCTGTGGGCTGGGGCAAATGCGTAAGGATGCGTATCCACCACTACAGGGTCCTACAGAACAGCCTCACGGCCCTAAAACTCCTCTGTGCTCCACCAGCTCAGCCCTCCCTCCCCCTAAACCCCTGGCAACCACTGATCTTTTCATCGTCTCCATAGTTTTGTCTTTTCGAGAATGTCATACAGTTGGAATCATGCACGATGTAGCCCTTTCAGATTGGCTTCTTTCACTTAGCGATATGCACTTAAGATTTCTCCGTGTCTTTTCATGGTCTGATAGCTCATTTCTTTTTAGTGTGAATAATACTCCATTGTCAGTTTATTATCCACTCACCAGCTGAAGGACACCTTGGTTACTTCCAGGTTTTGGCAACTGTAAATAAAGCTGCTATAAACATCCGTGTGCAGGTTTCCGTGTGGACGTAAGTTTCAGTTCATTTGGGTGAATATCCCTTCCTTCTTTTTCACCTGGTTGGTCCTACTCATCCCTTAGGGTTCTACTGATTTATAGCCCCCTCCAGGAAGCCTTCCTTAATACCCCCACCAGCTTGGCACAGATGCCTCCTCTGTGCCCCACAGCTTGCTGTATTTCCCCCAAAACAGCATGCACTATACTGTTGGCTTCTGTTTTCCTTGCTGGTCTTGGGCTCCTCAAGGTGGATCTCGGCATATGGTAGGTGTACAATACAAGCTAGAAGAATAAACGGGGGATGCTGGGCTTGTACGGAAGGGCCATTGTCTGTTGGGGGGGGCACTACCAGGACACAGGGTGACCTGGAATTTTCAGATCTGGTGGCAGCAAAGCCTCCTTTCCATGTAGCCACACTCTCTTCGAACTTGGAGTCTACCTGCTCCTCAAGAAAGACACCCCAACCTTTGTGTTCTGGATACACTCACACTCCAGCGCATGCTTATCTTGACTTTCTGCTCAGAATGCCAGTTCCTGGAGTAGAGAGTCAATGTTTTACCATATTTTTGCCCTGCATCCAATAGTTGTCCTGAATGGCGTCACGCAGTGTGACATAGGTGGTGGCTGAGATTCCAGACCTGACATAAGATCCAGCTCTGTGTCTTAATAGTGAGGCGATCTCAAGCAAGTCGTATGACTTCTCTGAGCCTCAGAGTCCTCCTCTGCATCATGAGGCAGTAAGAGTGTGATCCAGAGAGTTGTTGTGAGAATAAAATGGGATAATATATGGAAGTGTACTTAGTACAGTGACTGGTACATAATGTGTATACAATAAATGATAACTATTGGGGTTATTACTGATTTATTTAAAAAAACACTTTTACTGAGCATTAACTATGTGCCAGGTCCTGAATTATGAGGAAATACAGAGATCAGAGATAAAATGTTCTTCTCTAGAAGTTCTGTCAAGAGGAGATACAGCTAGCATTTGAGGGACAGTGTGAAGAACGAGAGTGAGCCTGAGGTGTTATAAAAGCCCAGGAAAGAGGAATTCAGCCTGGAACCAGTGAGGAAGTGCCAGAGGAAGACCCACTGCTGAGTCTTGAGGGGTTAAGAGAATTTAGTCCAGGCGAAGAACAGAATAAAAAGCATCCTGACCAAAAGGACAGAGCATCCAAACGAGAGCTTGGCAGGATCGTGGATCACAAGTGCTGGGGTTTGGCTTTAAGGTGGAGAGTGAGTGAAGGAACAGCAGGATCTGCGACTGGGGAGGTGAGCTGTGGCCAATCTCAGGGGGCCTGAGTGTCAGACTGAGGAACGGGGTGGTCCGAAAGTAGCTAGTGTGGATGGAAGCAGGAGTAGGTGGACAGATAAATGCGTAGAGATGGATGGGGTCAGTAGACACAAGGATGGATGGATCGATCAATTGCTTGATCAATGAGAAGATGGATGTAGATGGGGAAATGACTACAGATAAATCAACAGAAGTGTGGGTAGAGGCATAGATGGTGGGTAGAGGCATAGAGATACGTGAATGTATGAACAGAGACACAGAAGTATAGATGTATGGACAGACAGATGTACATGGGTGAGTGGATACCTGGAAGAATGTACAGAAGAATGAACAGATGCATAGACAGATCTATAAATGCATGAATGAACGGTAGTATGGATAATTATTTAGAGACAGATGAGTGGATAGACACCTGGACACACGAAGAGATGGATGAATGAACATACGGAGAGAGAGATTTGGCAAGATGGACCAATGGATGGGGATAGGGAATGAATGGGAAGGTGGATTACAGGGATTCGTGGGTGGAGGAGTAAGAGAATGGAAGGGTAGGAGCATGGGCAGTTGGAATCATGATGGATACACAGCTGGGAGTCTCCATGGATCATCACTACTGCCTTGGCTTATCTTCCATATTCAAGCCCCACCTACCTTCAAAGTCTACTCGTCCATCCCCATTGAGGTCCACATCTCGGATAATTTCCTCTATGTCTCGGTGTCCCACCTGATGACCCAGGAGTTTCCTCATGGCCTCTCGCAACTCACTGGTGCTTATCTCCCCATCACCATTGGTATCAAACTAGAGAGGGCAGAGAGGAGAGAGGAATAGCTACAACGTGGGGAATGTAGAATCAGATCCCAATGTTGGGCTCCTTTTCCAGCCTCATTGTCCCCCTCCCTTCCCCCAAAGACCCTTCTCTGTCCAAGCTCCTTCCCCTAGAATGTGATTCAGGGCTTGGATTTCTCTTAAAGTAACCATGCTGGAGTTGGAATTCTAACAACCCCTGCACCCCTGGCCTGTCCATTGCCCATTACTCACCTCTCGGAAAGCATCTCGCAGTTCCTTCACTCCAATCATATCTGCTGTTTCTGCCAGAAGTTTAGGTCCCATTAGTTCTACGAAGTCATCAAAATCCACATGGCCACCCACTGGAGACAGAGGAAAGGGCTACATTATCCATCCAACCACTCCCCATGTCTAAGCAATGGAAGGCACTGTGAACCCCTCCTTGACCTATCTAGTGCCAAGTCCAGGGTACAACCAAAGGCCAAATGAGGACAGAGAGGTGACCATGGACAGGTGGTCTGTCAAAGAATGGCTCAGGGGAGTGGCCAGGGTTAGGCCAAGGAAAGCAGTCAGGAGGTATACAGAGGTAGATACAGATGAAAGAAACAAACACTGGGGTAGAGAGAAGGGCAAAGAATTTCAGAGACAGAGAGCCAAAGACACACAAACAGAAAGGCAGAGAAAGGAGAAGTTAGGAGCACCTGGCCCACTTGTCCCAAGCTTTACTCTTGTTATGCCAATGGAAAGTCAACTCCAAGACCCCCCAGCAGGTAGGAGTGCTGGAGAACTGACTCTCCCCCACCCACAACATCTTTCAGCCAGTGACTTAATACCTGGCTGGGGAGGTGAGGACCCTAAGTTCAGGGCATGCACGCTGCACGGACTCTGGGAGCTGCCTAGCAAACCAGACTTGGCACTCGCCCTGCTAGCCGGCTTGAGAGACTACTTCCTGTGGCCTCCATCTCTTCATGGTCTCACCTCCCTGCTCCCTCCTGACGCTTCCCTTCACCCTCACATAAATTGCTCGCACTCAAACCCTTGCTTCTGGGAGAACCCACACTGAGACAGAGAGCAATACAGGAGAATAATAGAGGAATAATATGCCTTCTGCTTAACAGTCCCCGTGTGCCGCCCACGTGTGGGACTGTTTGGCAGATATGCCCTCACAGACTTCCTGTGCTCCTCTCATTTTACAGTTTACACCTGAGAAAAGAGGCTCAGAGAGGCTAAGTGGTTTGCCCCAGGTCACAGAGCCCAGAAGAGATGGGCCCAGAACCGAGCCATGGGCCCGTGTGACTGCAGAGGATAAGGATGGCGGGGACAGGAAGGGAAGGAGGTGCACTGTGGAGGGACTCACGGTTCATGTTGATCTGCTGGGACAGCTCAATGAGCTCCATCTCAGTGGGCATGTAGCCCATGGTCCGCATGCAGTTGCCCAGGTCCCGACAGTTGATGTAGCCGTCCTTATCCTTGTCAAATTCTCGGAAGGCCTCTCGGAGCTCTGAGCAAAAGAATAAAAATGGGTGTGGTTGAACGAAAGAAGAAAAGTGGGACCCGCAGAGCCTCTGGGCAGAGGTGGCCTGAGCGCCCACCGGCCAGGACAGCCAGACCCTGGAGCCGCTGGGACTTCCCTGCTCTGACCCCTGGCCCCGTAGAGAATGCCCAGCCCTGGATCAGGCCACGTCCCCAGGAGGCCAAGGTGTCTCTGCTTCTCTTCGCAGCAATCTCCCTTCCCTCACCTTTCTGGACTGCTGAGCAACCCTTTCGCCTTAGGGGCTGGGTCTTACCTTCAATTTCCTCTGGCCGCAGAGATCTGTCCTGAAACAAAAGAACATGTTCTGTTAGCAGCTGTGAGGTGCCTGGACATCACAAAATGCCCAACCTGGGGACCATCCACGCGACAGCAACCACCGGGTGGGGAGAGTGCCTGGACCATGTCTTTGAGGGAGAAAAGTACAGCCCCACATCTCCCACAGACACAGGAGATACCCAGGGACCCCAGAGCCCCATCTGTGTTCTCACTCCAGACACAAGAATGTTGTCAGGGAACAGAGTTGGTCTGGAGGCAAAAGCCTGTAAATAAAGCAGGGTGGGCGGGTTGTTGTGGTCACAAAAGAGAGAAAGTCTGCAAGATAACGGGAGAAGGGCTGGAGGGACAGAAAGCTGGGACCAGACAGGATGCCCAAGAGAGAGGAAAAGGAGGAGGAGGAGCCACAGGTGTGGAGGCAGAATTAGGGCTGTGCCCTGCTTCTTGGGCATGGCCCACCTTCTCCAACCTGACCCCCATCCTACACTTTGCTCCGTACTGGGACACAGCATAGGACCCTGGGGGCTGCCAGGGCTGGTGGCTGCCGCCGGGGTCCAAAGCACACATCTCCAGCTTCGAGCCGTGCCTAGGTCTCCTTGGGGACTCCAGGAAGCCCTGGGTCTAGGCATCTGAACAGATGGCAGAAAAGTCTCCAAAGAGCAGCCCGGAGGATGCCCCCGGGGTAGGCTCTGGCTGGTGAGGTGCCAGCTACCCCAGGCCTTCCCAGGAGGCAGGCAGACTAGCATGAGCTGCATGCCTACCAGCAGGACCTGTTCCGTAGGCTCCAAAACTGGTGCCCAGGGCTCATCCGTCCCACACGTCACAGCTCTATGACTTTGGGTGGGAGGGTGTGCCCAGCTGAGGAAGCACATGCCAGCTGGGGGCACACCTATTGTGAACATAGACACACAGGCGGGCCCTGGGCAAGCCTGAGGCATCTCAGCTGTGCACACAGGCAGACCCTGACCTTGACCCAACAGGGTCAAGGCAGGCAAGAGACAACTTCTGCCCACCCATTGTAAACTGGCCCCAGAGCAAGAGATGCCAGCTCCGGAAACTCTCAGAATCTTCCAGAAAGGGGCCACTGAGGGACGCCTGGGTGGCTAGGTCAGTTAAGCTTCTGCCTTTGGCTCCGGTCATGATCCCAGGGTCCTGGGATCAAGTCCTGCATCAGGCTCCTTGCTCAGTAGGGAGCCTGCTTCTCCCTCTGCCTGCTGCTCCCCCTGCTTGTTCTCTCCCTCTCTGACAAGTAAATAAAAAATTTTTAAAAGGGGGGGCCTGATGAGCAACATCTTGGGTGGCCAAAAAGGATGGTTTTTGCAATGCCCCATACCCCCAGCAAGTGAAGTGAGCAAGTACACAAGTGTATGCGTGCACACACCCTAGGACAAGTCATCAGACCTGAGTCCTTTCCCACCCTTCAAGCCTCAAGCCACCTCCCACTTACTCTAAGACCTGGCTCTGCAGGACTGGAGAAGAGCAGGTGCTGCTGACCCCCACTGCAGCCCCCTCCCCTTCTTGCATAGCCGGAGCCAGGGAGCAGGAAAGCCTTGCTCCGTGTGCCTCTGGCAGAGCTGTTCCGGTAGAGTCCGGCGGCTGGCCCTTGGATCGCCCACTCCCCTCACGGAGCAGTGGGGGTATGTGCAGTAGAGCTGGGGATGCCCATCAGTGTGACAGGGAAACCATGAGCACCATTCCCAGGGGTCAGATGGGAAGAGCGCACATGCACACTCCTTTCTCCCCAACATCTGTGGTCTGGGAGAAGAGGTTGACCTCTGGAGTCAAACACAAGTTCAAAGTCCAGATCTGATAGTTCCTAGCTGTGGGGCCTTGGGCAGGTCACTTGAGCTCTGTGAGCCACAGTCTCCTCATCTGTAAAATAGGTTAACGCCAGTACCCATGTCACAGGGCCTTTGAGAGCATCCCAGGAGACAAGATATGTAAAGCGCATCACATGCGGCATTCAGTAAGTAAACCTGCAAATGTTTGTGTCTGCAACAACATCATTATGACCCTCCTCCCTGTGACTGTTCAGACATCTGGAAGAGGCTGCCCAGACATAGTAGCCACGTGTGGCTCTTGAGATTGGAACCAGAAAGCAATGAAATGAACAATTCACTCAAATTGCAATAGCCACGTTTCAAGTGCTCAATAGCCATGTGTACGTGGTGGCTAATGTATTGGGCCACACAGATCATAGACTGTTTCCCCCACTGTAGGAAGTTCTCCTGGACAGGCCTGTGTACTCAGTACTGCTGTTAAGAGAACAGGAAGCCTTGGAGTCAGACTCCGCAGAGTCAGATCACCCACTAATTGTTATCCTGAGCGTGTTTGCCTCTCCAACTCATTTTCCTCATCTGTAAAATGGGGATGATAATAGGACTTACCTCTCGGAGTTGCTCTGAACCTTACAAGAGGCAATGCAAAGCTCTTAGCACAGAGCCTCGCACAGAGTATGTGCTCAAAAAACCAAGCAAGCAATAAAACAGAGAATGTCATCTGTTCGTTACTTCTTGCCAGTGGACGTGGACTCACCAGTGCTTTGCAACCATGGGTGGGAAATTTTGGGGGGCAGGTTCGCAAGTTGAGGGCTTAGGAACTATCCATGAGAGCACACGCTTTGTTGCGGACAGAGCCCCTCTTCTTCCCAGCACCTCCTCACGCCCTCTGAAGCCAAGCTCAGTGCGGCTCCACGGGGGCCAACTTACGTACAGGCTGCCTGTTCTCAGCGAAGCCCTTGCGTAGGAAAATGCAGGCAGGGCCCAGCAGGTTGTGCATGACAGCGCAATTCTGGGCCAGCATCAGGAGCGGTCCCGGGAGCTCACCGCTGGCTGCAAGCCCCTCCTCACTCGTCTGCACCACCGCGTAGCTGCTCTTCTCCTCCTGGCGCATCTTCAGCCAGCACCCAGCAAATACAAAAGAGAGGCAGGGGTCACCGCCCTGTCCCACTGGCCCTCCTGGCCTCAGCCTGGCTCCGGGTCCTAGAAGGCGCTCTCCTCAGGAGGAGACCCTTGAGAGTCAAACAGCGGGGTTCAGAGAGCTCTCATGATGCACGGGAGGCAGGAGTCAAATCGGTTCAACAGATGGAGTCTCATCCTTGACTGCCACAGACGCTCCGGGGAGAGCTGGGGGGTGACACCCGTTGTGTGGCACATGGGCACACACATGCTCACGACACACACACGCACAGGATCACATGCTCACAGCACATGGAAGCTTACAGAGAGAAGGGGGTGGAGGAGGGCTTCTGCTCCAGCCAATGGGAAGTGCTCACTCAGAGACTAATGAGTACAGGCCATGGCCAAGATGCTCTTGAACAGATTTGCTGCCCTGCCCCCACTGGACCCCACTGGACACAGTGAGGACAGTCCGAGCTGGGACCACGCAGAGCAGGCTCACGTAGGCTGCTGGACTGACAGGCGCCAACACAGGGGCCTCGCTGATGGAACCAAGTAGGCAGGGGAAGAGGGCAAAATGGAGGCTGTCAGTCTCCTCTGAAGGGGCAGCGCTATTTAACTCAGTCCAATGTTTCCTTCTGATTTAAAGCACTGGCTGGGCCAGGCAAAGCCCATCTGTGGGTCACATTCTTCCCAGTTTGCAGCCTCAAGACTAGACACTATCTGCCCCCAGCAGCTCTCCTTCTTCCCCCTCCCGTCTGTCTCTGGCTCTCCGCCCAGCTTGCCCGACCTCTAGAGGCTTAGGCAGGGGCCCTCTCTGCTTACCGAATATAGCTGTGCTCCCAGGCCCTGGCCCTCCCCTCCTCCACTGTAATGGTTCCCATGCAGCTATAAAAAGTCAGCACTGCTCACAGACCTCCCCTTAGGACAACTGCAGCATCGAGACACAACATTCTATTCCACGCTGGCCTCCCCAGGATGCCCAAGGCCCCCCAGCATCTAGGATAGGGCACTCTGCCTTCCGTCCTGAGCTTGGATGCCTCCCTTCAGTGTGAGGATTTGGAGGCAAACCTTCCCAAGAAGAAACAGAGCAGCTAAACCTTGGAGGGCTCTCTTTGTCCTTGAACCCCAGAGCTGCAGACCCTACCCTTCCATCCTGCTGCCAGGACCCTCCAGCTCACAGAAGGTCATGCCCAGGAGAAGATCCTGTGACTGAGGGGGTAGCCTGTCCTCCCAGGCTGAGAAGAAGAACGCTCCCCGCCAGCTTACCTCGTCCTCCCCCTCCTCTCGTGCCTCTTCTCCTCAAAGACCCACACTCTGGGGCTACAGACTAGACTCCCTTCCAATTTCCTAAGCCTCTTCTAGGCCTAGAGAGGGAGGAGTAGTATCCTGGTTCAGACCCTAGATGAAGGTCCTCAGTGCAAAGCCCAAGTTCGATGAATGCAATAAGGGTGGGTCTTCAGTGGTCTCAGAACCTGAGAGAGGTGAGAGAGACCAAGGGCCATTCTGGTTTGATGTCTAAAAGAGTTCGGAGCCTCGGTGACACTTGCACAGGCTTCCAGGACCCAGGCTAGAGCGAGGGCAGAACCAGAGAGACTTTCCCAACTGGGAGGCTGGCTAAGAGGAAGCCGGGGAGTAGAGAGTGGCTGGACCCCAAGAGGCAATCTCCCGAGATGTGTGTAGAGAATCAGCCTTTTCGCTTCTGGCTGAGTCTCACACACTTGGCTCAGAGCGAGCACAAGGCAGGAGGGAGGAGGTAGCAGGCAGCATAGAACTCTGAAAGGCCACTTAGTACACTGGCTTTGGTCTCCCAACAGTCTTGGGGACAAATTCTGGCTCTGCCGCTTCCTTGCTATGTGACCTTGGACAGGTAACTTCACCTCTCTGTGCTCTAGTTTCCTTCTCTGCCCAGCGGGGAACAACGTGGCCACTTGCGGGATTCTTGTGAGAAATAAGTGAGCTACTGCATAGTGCCTGGAGCGTGGTTAGAGCCGAACACATGGAGTTGCCATGGGAATGACAATGACGGTGATGACGGAGGAGATGCAACATGAGAGATGCTGGGAGCCAGAAGGCATTTACTGCTGGCTCCAGAGGAAGTGGGAGAATATTTG